CTGCATGAAGACAGGTAATTGCAGATTAATATTCCACTGTAATACTTATGCACAAGAGTGCCGAGTTAAAGTTGCCATGGGAAACAAGCCTGAATTTCTTCACTTTTCAGCAATTCACAATCATCCTTAATAAAGGTTTTGGCAGGTGATTTCTAATGCACGGAGCTTAACAGCCACACAAAAACCGTGCAAGAAGAAAGCTGCTACGCGGGAGCGTCTATATAGAATAGGTAGGCACGGGCACATCTCCATTATCTGCCTCTGGGTAGGATTGTGACAATCTCCGTGACTGTGTGAGCCACCTTCTGCATTCCCACCCTGGCCTTCAGCTAGGATCGCCTGGATACAGGCTCCACAGAGCACCGCTTGAAAAGCACACAGAAGATACCTTGCAGCCTGCTTCCCAGTGGACCCTCCATAACCTCCTCCCACAGCAGGTCTGTGATTTCAGGGACATATTCCTCCTAGAAAGTCCTCTGAGCCTAAGCTACGGCTCGCCTATCCCCTATCTACTCACGCTGAGCAGGGAGCTCGGCAGGGACTGCACATCTGTTGCTACGGCCTAAATTTGGTGGAAATCAACATCCATTCCCATTACAAGGTCAGTCTATAAATCACAGTGGCTCAGGAGCAGAGACACATCATTCAGTTGTCCCTGCCATGGGAACGCGACCACGGGTAGAGCGGTACGGGCGGCGGAAAGGCAGCGATCATTGCAGCCACTCCAGCTGCACCTGCCCGCGACTGCCAGCCAGAACCGCAAGACAAATGTTCAGGGGAAAACGCCTTTAATGCTCTTTTACACCAGCACTCAAGGGAACACAGCCTGAACCCAATTTAACCTTGTCGTGCATTTGTACTTAATATTATCTTACAGAAAGACTGGCTCCCATTTGTTAATATGCTTTTGCCAATCAGGAAATGTACTATGATCACCCAGATTTGTTTGTACACTTAAAAATAAATTAGTAACTGAACATATGCTTATTCATAGTCTCAGTGTTTATGGTTTTATGTTGAAATGGTGAGTGATGTTCTGTATTAGTATGTCCAGTTTCATCTGACAGCAAGTATAATTAAAAACCCCTCCAAAATAACAATCAAAGTGCATGCTAAACAAACTTGAAATATGTAGGATACAGTAAAGAAAAATACCAAAATGTTTTTGCATTTAAAATGTGTTGTTTAAGAGAACAAGGAAAGTATTGACTGTAAACAATTTATTCTTCTGCATCTGGTCACAAGATCCTTCAACAATTAGAAGATCTGAACATTTCATACCTTTCTCTTACGAAGAGTTTGGAAGAGGCAAATTCCTAATTCCCAACTGATGATTAAATTTGAGTGAATCTGAGACAATGAAGTCAAGTGCCTGAAAAAACTGACATGAAAAAAAGCAACTTCATCATTACCAAAAGCTCATTTAGCAGCTTAGCAACCCCTAGGTCCAGTTCCTTCTGCCAGGTCAGGGTTCTGATACTCTTTTACACTTCCAAGCAGCAGACATACAAAGCTTGAATTTTATTTGGTTTTCATTTAAGTGGCTTTAATAGATTACAGTAGAGATTAACATCCTATGTAGAAGCATAATTTCAAAGTCAGCTTTGAACAGATCTGATTTCTACCTTCAGACTTTTTACATTTTAAAAAATCATTGCTTTTCTTCCACTCTGCTGAAGTTGAAGGCAAGATACTTGGCTTGCTGACCAGAAGAGGCACACCCACTCACTGCATTAATAAAATAAGGTTACAGGCAGCCACGAATCTGAGCCTGGGGAGCTCCTTAACACAGTCACTGAAAGCACTGACCACCATAAACACCGGTGTATACAAGGACAAGGGGACAAAAGAGCGAGACTCCCACTTATTAATGCATCTTCTCTTCTATAGCTAAAGCACCATATGTACCTGGCTCTACAGGCTGACAGCGTATAAAAGCAGCAGGTACTTAAAAACTCTTAGCAGACAGTAAAGGAAAAGAAAGTCAGAGTTAGAGCTGAAAAATGAAGCACACTACCACCGTCGTGGTCCAAGGTCCACCGACCTCCACAGAATAACAGCTCTCACCTGACCCCACTGGGCTTTGGATCCAATTCCAAATGCACAAGGTAAGCTTTAAAGAGATGCGAGAGGCCAGCCATAAACATCCCTTATGGCCAACCCCTACTGACCTTTGGCTGGCTAAAACACTACATGACACAGACTGTGCCTCTCTATTCTTTCAGGTTTTCCCATCTATCCATCTGGGGCAATGCAGTTAAACTCCACCACCTTCATTTCTCTCTGGGATGGTCTCATTATTCATAGATATATCAAAAAACGCCATAAAGCTAAGCTGCTTCTTTGTGCATATAAACACGCACTTTGATTTAGGGGCGTATCTGTTGAAAGCCATCAGAAGTCAGGACTGCAAGGATGCTACCGTTCCTCTGTGGGTGTAGGGCAGGGAACATGAAGGACCCTCCAGGCCCAACCCAGAAGTGGTAAAGCAAAGGGCAGCGGCCACGAGGCACTCAGCCAGTGGTCCCAGCCACTGCAGCCACGATGCAGACAGCTTCCCAGGGGAATACCACCGTCCTTCACCCTCCTTGATCCCCATTATGGAGGCCATACCACAAGACCTCGGAGAGAGATCAGGCAGCATGAAAGGGAATGCAAATTAAGGAATCTTCAGGGCTCCCAAATGAGCATGAAGGACTTCCCCAGGGATAAAGCCAGCAAAGCTGCTGGTTGCAGAAGAGCACAAGTAAATACAGTGGGAGGGGGAGCAGATGTGGCAATCACACACCTTAGTGTCGATAAAAAGATAGCTCTTTCAGCAGTTTCTGGTAAGAAGCCAGAATATTTTGAAGAGCAGATAGTGAGAAATGTGAAGTGTGCTGCATGGTGGCAAGTGCTCTCTGCAAGACTTTTAGGCTGAGCTGGCTAAATTTAGAGCTATGCCTACCCACTTAAACTAACCTGGATCACAGCTTAGCTCTGTACATGGAGCCTCCTCGTCAAATCCCAATGCATTTGCATTTCATTGTATCTAGACTTCTATTTTGCAGGTATTAAAACAAAAGCAGAAAAAGGATCAGGATCACAGTGAAGATAAGCACCTGACCATTCCTAGCTCCCAGGTCTGTCTTCAGACCAAACTTCCACAACCTGTCTGCCACTGCTCCAGTGAAAGATCCTGCCACTAAAACCTTGCACAAAATATTGCTGAAATACACAGCACAGTTTGCTCACCATGACATACAGCCCAGCAGTGAAAAGGACAAAAGCCATGCTGGTGAGCAAAAAGGTAAGATGTAGGCAGGGGCATCAACTAAAGTCTCATTTTATAAAGTTGCCCAATTCTGGCAGGCACCTTCAGCCTCTCCAGCTACACTGATTCCCATGTAGCAAGAGCCATTTCTCTATTTGTCAAATTAATTTGTTGGCGAGGATGTGAGGGACTGACAGCCCTTTCCACACACAATATGATGCAGACAGACACCGAACACAGCAGACTGGAAAAACAACACTGAAGAACATCTCCACCTTAAAGGTACTATCTCACCAACAAAATATATAGCAGATCTGCATTGGCCCAGACCATTACTTTCCCTGGCAAGGACTTGGGGACAAAGCTCCTTAAAACAGTAGTAATCATATTCCACTCATGCTCCTTTTTACTGCCAGCTGTAAACTAGCTCCACATGCATCATGGTTTTGCATCAAAATGTGCACAGACCAAACCCATATCCAAAGGGACAAGGTAGATCCAATTTACAGCTTTGACAGGCCTGTGCACCCGAGGCGGAGCGTGCAGGAAATAGCCTGACATCTCACTTGGAGAGCGCTTAAGGCCCTGCTATCAGAACTGGAAGCGGAGCCACAACAGCCTCCCACAAAGACCCAGCAAAAGAGCAGAGAATTTGCTGTCCATCTTTCAAGAAACACGAAAGGCAGGCAGCACTCACCAAGGCACTACTGGGGAAGAGAGGAGTCAAGTTTGATCCCAAATTGCAGCATCCCTTTGACAGGACAAGCTCAAGGGAAACCACAGCTGCACTGGGAAATGAATGCACGGTATTGAGCCACTTCAGTAATGAGACACCACACTGAAAACCACTTAGCCTTTAGTATATTCAAAACAAAGCAAACGGAAGTTATTCTGACCCAATGCATATATTACCAGCAATACCCGTAAGAGGCCAATTGCTTGGCAGAGGAGGGCGAGAAGTCCAAGTTCAATTTACAGACTCAGAAATTCTGTTTGTTTGTTACCAACCCAATATCAGGTTGGGTTTTTTTTCCTTTTTAGCATGGTTTTCTAACTTAAATGGAAAAACTAGACCCATCCTGCTGACAAAATGTATTTACTAATATGCTCTATGCTACTATGGAAGAACTCTCTGCAGAAAAAACTCTGTACTTCATCTGGATTTCTGTATGTCTCAAGTGGCAGGGCACTGGAAAATTTCTGAAGCTGAACTCTTCCTGTCTCATTACACTCCAGAGTTAACACCCAGGCAAGATAACTTCAGCAAGATCAGAGAGCTCCAAACTATTGTTCTTCTCTACTTAGAAACACCATTACGTTGCACATATTTATATCATTCAAACTATTTTTTTTCCTAAAGCTGTTGACTACCAACAGCCTTTTTCCTTGCAGAATCAAACAAGGCTGCCATAAGTACTCCACTAATGCAGGGTCCCAGCCAAAAATTTTTAGACCCTCCCCAGTTCAGGCAGATGACAAGCATACATGACTTAAAGATGTTTTTGACAACAAATGAATTATCAGTTCCTTGATGGAAATCAGGCTGCTTCATTTCATTCCCACCAAACGGTCCTGGCACTGCTCCTGAGAGGGCAGGTGACTGGCAAGAGCCCTGGAGGACCAGCAACAGAAAGGAGGTGGGACAAACCAGAGAAAACGAGTGAGCCACGACTGTGCTTTTTCCTTCCACCTCTCAGAACAGCAGCAGCAACTTGCAAGGGGATAATTAACAGGATTGACTATTTACCTGAGGATGAATCTGTGGTTTATCACATGTAGCCTCAAAATCCAGCACTAAGAAGTAGTGATATCTCTGTGGAGGGAAGGATGACATTGCTGCCATGGAAGCTCCAAAGCCGTGGGACGCCAGTTTCCTGCTTACGATGGAGCTGTACCCTTTGAGAACACCAGCCGGGAGGAGGGAGCACACAGCTTGTCTTGCCCTTGGAAGTAAGTTTTGGGGAAACTTTGCTGCTCCAGTATGGAGGAGTGCTATCATTGAACATCCAGAGGCATCTGAAACTGAAGACAGACTCACGTTACTCATGCACACATACATCTCATCTCTGCTAGTATCTCTTCACTGGCCTCCTCTGTCAGGGATTTTCTCTGTGCTTCCCAGTGGAGGTTCCAGCATCGCAAGCCTGAAATAACACAGTAACCTGCTCTAAGCACCACAGATGACATTTGGGCTGAGCTCAAGGTGTCCAGAATCATGGGCAACTGGAAATTAACCTCTGCAAACAACTCTAAATTAAGAACTATGAGACACATAACAGTCATGGCTCCAGGCACCAGACCACACCCCCCTGCTGA